TTTTCCAGTCTGCGAAACAGTTTTTTCTGGAAAGTATTTGAGTATTAAATCTTCTTACGGTTCTGTAGGTCACATCTGTCTGAGTCACAAAGGGATCCTATGTGTAAAATCCAGTTGGACTCAAAAACACCACCTTTAAAAGGCGGATGTTCAAAATGTAAAGTTGAAAAATGAAAACAAATCGAGCTTCAACACCAAGGCGCTCCGGCGGGATCAGATATCGGTATTCCAAATGTCCCCGCTCTGAATGTATGAACTTTGCAGCAATCCATTAGCAGCTTCAGCATCACGGAGCCCCTCCCATAGATCCCACATTTTGAAGCATTTATTCCCTTGTTTGCCTGTGTACGTTTGTCCACCATCAGGGAATCTACCCTAAAGCTGGTGGGGCTTAATGACAGCCAAGACTCTGAGTTGCAGATGTTGCATGGAGCAAAGGCAAAGAAACGTCATCTGTCCGTTTTTTTTTGCCGGGATTGGCAGATTTCCTCCTCCCTATGTGTGTGGGTGTGGAAATCAGCTTATAAATGGGTGCCCCGGGTGTCAAAAATCTGCTCTCACAGTCTTAAAGAAAAGCCATTAAATCACTTTTCATTTGTTATTTCAATAATTGCCTCAATTGTTATTGTGGGAGGATTGCATGGGGTTGTTATAGACTTTTCTGTGTGTTTTTTTTAAAATAAATATAATCTTTAAAAAAAAAAAATAATCAGCAGATTAGTATTGCAGTTTAATCAAGTCTGACATAGATCTGATACTTATGAGCTTATGAAATATCAAATATGTCACCCCTTAAGCGAACAATATGTACAGAGCAGGCTGGAGTATTAAGCATTAAAGTCATAACAATGACATTCAGCATCATTTATTTATATAAATCCTTGTGACAGATGGGTCTGCAGATAATAGAGCTCCCTCTAAACGGTAAGACCTAAGGAGTAAAGGGGTGGGCGGAGTGCATCCGGATAGTAGCAGGATGAAGCAAGGCATTATTTAATCTGCAGACAACATGTATTTAAAGATGGATAGAGGCTGAAGGAGGGTGGTGGGGGGGGGGGATATGACTGCAGAGGTGGGAGAGCAAGAACATGTTTGTAAGCAGACAGTCTGCCTTCCCTGCAGATGTAAAACAGAATCTTTCTGATAAAAATACTTTTTTCTGTTACCGAGAGATTTAGCCAGATGCTGCTGTCTGGACTTTTAGATTCCTTGCACAAACAATGTCTGGAGGATCGTATTAAAATTTGAAGGAAAGATTATTATTCTGTTTCCTGTCTCTCCAATGAATCGCATTTATGTGGGCCTAAAGTTGCTTTCAAATTAAATTAAACTTGGTAATGAAAGCTGGTGGGTTTATGTATGTTATGCGGAGGAGTGCCGTAAAGTTTGAGGCGTAAACCATCTGGAAGTCAGATATCTAGAATTTTCTCCTACAGATTTTGTCCAATCAACTTCAAATATTGTCATGTTCAAACCTTAATGATGAAAAGTAATCAAACATTTATATTTCCTGGAACACCCTGCCATGTTGTTGTGGCCATTTTCAGCAAAATTGCTTTGGTCTTATTTATCAAGTAATACATCTATTTCATCTATCAATCTTGTTTGTTTGTATTTAACTAAGTACTACAGAAATGTATGCAGTGATTGTATTATTGGTTCATAGGTTAGAGACATTTGATTGACCCATTTTATCAAGTCATTTGAATGGACGATCAAAACGGGTCATTTGATTGTCCCATTGATACAATACATTTAATTGGCGGGTCATTTGATACGCAATGCACTGCAGCGCCATCCGTCGTCCCACCAGCACCCCCAATGTGCATGGATGTTTTGGGACCTGCTCATCGCTTCTTGCATTTTCAATGTTGTTTTGATATTCTGCAGGCAGTGAGCTCCCAGCTGTCGGTGCCTCAGTGCATGACTGTCAACACAACAAACCCTTGCGGATGGCATTTGGTAAACAGAGACCATATCTCACATCCTTGCAGAGAACTAGATCCTAAAATATGACTGTTTAGTCTGCTGAATTCACACTCACTCTGTGGTGATAAAGTCTACGAACATTAAGTTGTCCTTTTAATAACAAGACGCTGAGAGGATATATGCACATCTGCAAGCCTTCAAATTAATTCAAGTCTCCAGCCAAGGGCTTGTAAATCCTGTCCGCTGTAGCTGGTAGCTAAGTATGTCAATTCCTCTTGCTTCTGTGGCTGGTAGCCAGCAGGTTTTCAATTAGTCCCTCCTATTGCAAATCATCCTTTGGCTGCTAAGAAAGTGAAATTAAACTGGGATATTTTGAGTCCACTAATTGCTCTGGCTGGTAAATGGCACATCTGATTCATGCCCTGAATCTTTAGAGCGTGCCAGTTTCATCTCCTGGTCAGGATATTAATTGCTTCAGTCTGACCTGTTCGGACACATTGGTCAAACAGATAAGTCCCATTATGTAAACAGCAGTTATAATGTTTGTGTTTTAAAGGTCAAAAGTGACGATTAGGGTTGAAGGAATAGTATGACATTTTGGGAAATAGGCATATTTGCCAAGAGTTAGGTAAGAGAATTGGTGCGACGCTCTTATCTGTCTGCCAAGCCTGTTCCACATATCATATTATTCTCATCATTTAGATAAGCTTTGAAATGCTCAAAAAGAGAAAGTAGAATCAGCATACAAACTATATACAAATAAAATGATAATAATTTGTTAGACATATGTCGTTATAAGAGCTTACGAGGCTTAGTCTCTACTAGCATAAATCACCAACATTTCGGACCAAACGTCACAGTGGAGTTGATTTTTTGGTATCTCCAAGAACATAGATCATGATTTGCAATTCAAAATGGGGTTAAGGTAAACGTTTCAGCCTCCTTTTGGTTTCAGGACTTGCAGGAGCAGAACGTAATTGTCCATTAGGAGAACTTCATCAACTCAACTCCCTTTAAGACAAAAAAGGCCACACAAATCAGATGTCACAGGCCAGTGGATGTATGTGCAGGTTCTGTCGATAGCACCCTATTAGGTGGAGGGGACGTGTCAGCGTAGGAGAGGGCCTAATCCAATCAGCAGAGTAATTAAAAACACACAGCACAGCAGCCCTGATGGCTGCATTGTCAGGGACGGCATTCAGCATTTAGCACAGAGAGGGATGAGCTCATGCCGGGTCAGAGAGATGGCCGTCTCCACTGCCGTGCAATTAGAATCACAATCAAGATCAGCAAAAATACATTAAAAGGACAGCAAATATGCAGAGAGTGGTCACACATTGTGTTCCCAATCCTCATTCTCTCCCTCTTTATCTTCATTGAAATGGCTTTAATCCACACCTTGCTCAGTGTTTTAATTCATCTGTAATTATAATGAGTATTGTGTCCTAATTAGTGTCTTTACAGCGTTGGCACTCATCTGTTTGTCGTTATATTCAGCCCTCCTGCCAGTGTTGCTGAGCTCCATCCAGCATGCAGTTGGGAAACAAACCACCAGATGTCACCCACACCTTAGTGCATCCAATCTGGTTTTTTTATGAAGCCTAATGAATTTTGGTTTTGGCACAGTGTCACAGTGGTGCTTGGCGCATAACAGCATTGTGGATTTTTTTCCCTTTGCTTTCATGAGATGAACTCAAAGTCCATTTTGCACACATTTAGGCAGCAGTATATCCGGGATGCAGCAGCAACAGGATCTCTTCTCGTGACACATTGTACGTCCTCGCTCCACGCTTGATGCAGCCTTCGTGGCTTCAACCGCGGTGACTTAACCATCCTTCTCTTCGCCTCAGAGGGCCACTCTCCATCCTGTGTGTGCAGCCGAGCATGAATCTGAGGCTCGGGAGCGCTCTGGATGTGTGACAGGCTTTCCTTGGAGAGGGGTAATTCTGAAGGGCAGAAGAAGTAATAGGGTAATCTATTATACAGTCAAACTCTTTCTTCCTCCTCTCTTGCCCCCGCCCCCACCTTCCTCCCTCTCCTCACTCTCTCCCAGTCTTTGGTTTCTCGCTGCCTCTGCCCTTGCATCAGCATTTCGCGAGGACAAATGAGAAGTAGAGTTTAACTATGCACATTCCCGATGCCCTCCTGCAGAGCCCAGCACTTTCGCAATTAAACTGGAGTCCATCTCCCCCTATGATTCAAAACTCACCCCCCACTGAATGGGGGCAGCTCACACACACTTTGAAATACACACTTACAGACACACACTGTTCCAGTCTAGCAGTGCGTGACCGTAACCACTGGGGTGGGTTATCATGTGTAACTAAGCTGCCATATTTCATCCACCCCTAAGGCACATTAGGAGATATGAAAAGGGAATGAAAGAGTATCAAATTAGTATAAAACATTGATTTGTACAATTGTCTGCCTTACATGGACAAAAGAGGAATAGAGACACTACATCCAGAGGTGATTCTTTTCCAAAAACAAAAATGTAAAGCGTGTCTGTTTTTTGTGCTCAACTACTAACAGGAAAAAGCATAACTTAAGCATTTTCCACTTCTCTGCATTGATTTACCCACTCCTCCACTTTCCACTGTATGGATTCCTTTATTTACCACACTTTATCAATTCATTCTCCATTAGTGTTTTCAATGGTGTGCATCATCTTGTTCTAATGTCTTGAAAAAGGTCAACTCATGGTGAGAGACCAATAAGAAAAAAGCATCTCCCTCCTCCACCCCCTGCTATATATTCAACCCCCTTTAAACCCCCCATCCCTGACATCTTTTTCTCTGGTGCGCTCCATTTTAGTCCCACCTCCCAGGGAGACAGGGAGAGAGCCCACAGCCACCATCTCCTCCGCCTCCTCCTCTTCCTCCTCCCCCCTCTCTCAGCTCCCCGCTCTTCCAGCACACGCTCACACTCCTTCCCTCTGATGCCGACTGGATGCAGACCGGGGGATTTCCAGCAGCTTCCTAAAGCTCTCCTCCCTCCCCTCCTCCTCCTCCTTCAGCATCCGGAGCTTCTCCTCTTCATCCTCCTCTTTCCTCCTGCTCCTCACCTCCGGGATGTGGCACTCGGTGGCTCTGCTCCTCTCTGGATTCTTTGCTCTGATCCACGGTGAGCCCGATCGCCTCTCGCTCTTGTCTTTCGTTCAGTTTCCAGGAATCTCAACGGCAGCAGCGGCACTTTTAGTCCCAAAGGGGGGGTTGTATAGGGAATGTATGTATGGTGTCAATTCTGTTGATGCTTGATCTATGAATAAGAATTCAAAGTAAAAAAAAAAAAAAAGACTCCGGGAGAAGAAAAGTGCGAATCTGGCTCACCTGTTTGCTTTCTTGTTTACATCTCTGGGATTACTGGTTGTTTTTTTCTGGATATATGTGCTGGGTTGACCTATGGGTTGGATCCGTCTGTTTGAGACGTTTAGACAGGTAGATTGATGCTGTGCACAGAGGCTGGTGACAGAAACAGTGTGTAGAAGAACCTGAGCAGTCATAACCTTTTATTGCTTTTCTCCCCCCATTCCACATGCCGCTCCTGGCCAGATCTGCATGTGTGACAAGGGGTTTTCCCAAATGGAAAACAGGTCATAGATCAATGGAATTGTATGTATAGATCGACTCTTCCATTTTGCCTCCCCTGTTGTGTTGGACGCCGTGTTGCAGCCAAGCTGACGGGGCTCGGAGCAGCAGGAGAGACTATAAAAGCTGTCAGCTGATGGCAGAGCTGAGAGGGTGAACTTTCCCTATAGGCAGAAGGACCAGCAGAGCTATTCTGTTTGTCTGTGTTTTCAAGAAGAATATTTACTACCAGATAGTCCAACAAAAAAACAGAAAAGAGGACAGACGAGGCACACGTTTCAGACTGCACTGCTGCACACTGAATTTTAAGAATTAAGGAAAGCTCCAGGGTTTTTCCATCACTTTGCTTTGATGACACCATCTTTCAATACCATTAGTGTGGGAACATTTCTGCCAACGCTCCCCTGGGACACTAAAGACCCTTAAACCCTGACAATTCCCATAAATAAGCATTCAAGACAGGAACAAAATACATCTTACACTGTTGGACAATGTCCCATATACAGTGTGTTCTGCTTTGCTGTTTATTGAGGTCATAAAAACTGACTGAGTGAAATCCTCCATCCTGTTTTGAGCACAATTTCAAAATAATTCCCTGTACTTCAGCATAATATAAATGGTAGACACCTCTTGATCTCAGCAAGGATATTAAATGAGATGTATGAGTTTGGATGGAGTCTAAATGTGTTATGATGGCTCACTTATGGGAAAGATAGAAGAAGCTTTAGTGATGCGACATACATTTGAATTTGGTCTGCACATTTTTGGTTGACAGTATAGTCTGCTAATTAATTCAATTTTCACATGGTATTTGTATCATTTCAAACTAGCCTAATTATTTGTGCCAATCATGCGCTGATAAGGTTTCCGACTTTTCCTACTTAGATTGTTATTTGCTGACTGTTCTCCACGCTTTCTCAAATATTTCTTCTGTTTGCCGATTTTATTCTGTATTATAATTTTTTTAATACTGCTAAATAATTAAATCTAACGAAAAGGCTGGACCTCTCCTCCAGATTTTATTGGAAAAACGTAAAAGTGGAGATAAGTGTGACGAATGGAGGAAGATGGTTGTAGATCAATTTTTTATTTCTGCTAATTTCATAATTTAAAGCTTTTTCTCTCTTTTTCCTCTAAGACTTTTATTTGTAGCCTTGTTCATTGGTTATTTAAAGATGAGGACGTTCAGTTCCTAAGGGCTACATTTTCTGATTTGATTAGCAACATGTTTTCATCAATTTTAATTCATTGCCTGAATGTACTCCCACCCAAAAGTCTGATTTGCTTCCTGAGCGATGCATTTATTGGGGGTTTTCTTGAAGATTGGTGTCATTTTTTATGAATTCACTTCACAGGAAATGCTCACTAATTCTGTGTATACTGTTACGTAACGGCCCGTCCACACAACAGCGTTAAAAAAATAGCCAGGCATGGAGGGAGGTGGCAGAGACAGTGGTAGGTTAACGCCTGTTTGGGGAGTTTATATCCAATTTACTTCGGGCTTTTTTGCTTTGTATGTCGGGGGCGGGAGATTCATGTGATTGGTTGTTGATCGCGTTGCTCGCAAACAATCCCCAAGCTTCAGATACGCCCACCTCCAAGATCTTTTTAACGCTGCTGTGTGGACGCTCCGTAAAGTGACCTAAACATCACCTACAGGGGATTTTTATGGTGTAGAGTGCGGCTTGTTTTCACATATGTAAATGATCTTTTTTCCTGCCTCTGCAGTGTCGGTGCAGGGTCCTCACCAGAGGAACCTGTTAAAGAACCTCCTGAAGGACTACAACCGGATGGAGCGGCCGGTGGGCAACGACTCCCACCCGCTCACCGTTATCTTCTCCCTCAGCATGATACAGATCATGGATGTGGTAGGTGTCTACAGCCTCATGAACGTCATCCAATAATTGGCTCTCTAATTTAAAAATATACATTTGTCCTCTGCATGATGAAGCTTCTTAGACATAAGGTCAAGAATCATTTGCAACCTTTAGTTTTGTTGTGTTATTCAATACTGATAATTAGCCCAAAAAGGGAGAATTAAAATCATAATTTGAAACCAAGTAAGGCAGTATATGCCATAAACTGTAATATTAAAATGTCATTAATGAAGGCCATTACAGAGGACTCTGTTTAATTTTGCGAAGTTATTTATGCAGGTAACCTTTCTGTAATATTTATAAGGATGCTAAAAAGTGTACTACTATTTGCCTCATGATTAATGCAAATAATCTTTGAGAAAACAAAAATGTTTAAAATGTTTTGCAGGATGAGAAGAATCAGGTGCTCACCTCCAACATGTGGCTACGGATGGTAAGGACCCCCGAGAAATAAGATAATGAATTTGCAGCTATTAAAGGTTTACATGGTTTTTAAACAATAAAATACTGTTTGGATGACTTATAACAAGACGGAAAATAAATGACTTGAGACTCGACTTGGATATGAAAGTTTACCTTCCAATATTTGAGGTATTTCTATGATTGATATGAATGATGTTACATTTAAACTAATGGTCAATGCAATTGAGAGGTTTGCCTGTACTGCCGTCCACTGGGATACAGACTGTATTTGTGTGTGTGTGTTAAAAGAGTTGGTTCGACCATTATCTCCAGTGGAACCAGAGCGAACATCCCGGAGTGAAAAACCTGCGCTTCACCACAGACCAGGTGTGGACACCGGACATCCTGCTCTACAACAGGTAAAACACGCATAAACACCTTAACACACCTCTCATACATACACATTGTATTCCAACAAGTAGTGTCACTTCCTCCCCTGCCCTTCCTCAGTGCAGATGATGACTTTGACTCCACCTTTAAGACCAATGTTCTGGTGAACTCCAGCGGCTACGCAGAGTATCTGCCTCCAGGTGAGTCCCTCTCCTTTATTTATTCATTCCTGCTCTCACTATTCCTCATCCCTTCCTCGTCTCCCTTCGATGCAGCAGCAGCATATCAATTTTTCGCATGTCTCCCCTGTTTGTACATTTCACATCAATATTTCATAAGTATAAACAGCATCCCTGGTTACTCCCAGCGTTGTGAATACCGCCTATAAATAGGATATGCTTGCTTCCTCCATTTTCCTGTTTTCAGACAAACGCAAGACCAGTGCAAGAGTGAAAGAAGCAGCTCCCCTGGGTTTCCACGGGTCTTTTCTCTGTCTTTTTCTTTATACACCAGATTACAACAGGCTGAGATTGAATCCCAAGGTTTAGAGGGGGTTGAAATGGCCTTCTGATGTAAAAGTTCTGAGGACTTCTCAGAGAGACACCCTATCTATTGTATTCAGCGGCCATGTTTATTAATAATGTAAATACAGCTCCGTAATGCTGCGATTTGGATCACAGCCAATTAGGGAATGGATACAAAGATATGTCTGCATTGGTGGAATATGGAGAGGGTTTTACTACATGATGGAAATGGAAAAATAATAGGCAGCAAACCAGCTATTTCAACTCCCGCACACAAGCCTGGTTGCAATTCCTGAGGTATTTTGTGGGCTGGTGTTATCAGGAAATATAAAGGCAACAGGTGTGTGGGTGGCGGGCATGGAACAGGAGCTTGACACACGGTGAATAATTCAAAGGCGGAGGATCTCAGGTGTCTACTGCACACCATCACTTGCAGAAAAAAACCTCTCATAGCTGCAGAGGTAACGGTGTTATGGTTGGGTGTAATGCTATAACAGGAGATAAGGCATAGCAGGCTTTTAGCTCATATCTTGATTGTGTGACATTTGCAAAGGGAAAATCTTGTTTCCGGGGCCTTGTCATGCCTTCTTGGGAAGCGATTTTCAGAATGACAGAGATTTATTTTGGGAGCCTTGCTGTGGGAGAGGGAGATTATTCCAAGCTGCAGAAAAACCCAGGTGTCTCATTTGTGAGCATTGCTTCAAGGTTACTGGATATCTGTGAGAGGCATGGTACAAAACTCACAAGCCCACAGAACAACTTTTACCTGATCAGTGTGATTATGGGTTTAGTGCCTTCAGAGTTCATAACAGCAGTAATCACACAGATATCATCCCCATGAAGCAAAGGCAAAAGCTTGGTGTCAGTTGCTGGATTGGAGGGTATATAAATATATATAGCAAGTACTTAATGTTATGTGATCAACCTCTGCTTTGAAACCAGCCCTCTACCTGCTAACCTCTGCTCTCCAATGTCTGCTTTGATTCCACTCTGAAGTCTGATTTGCATGTCAGCCTCATAACGAATGTCTTTGAGCGCTGTAAGGCTTCATTGGCATTTTGGTTCTGCCTGCGTCTGAATGTTTGAACCGGGCTTTATCCTTTTATTTCAGTAATTCATTTAAGGGCCATAGTTTGCCAGCGACCACTGCGAGGATCTTCCTTTGGGGGTGGAAACGAACGTGCAAGCGCATCTTTAGGATTTTGTGCTTGCGTGTGCCTACACATATGCATTTGGGGGCATTTCTTTTGCATAATAGAATTGGTAATCTGATTAGGAAGCGCACAGTCTCATTTTTCAGTGTCACTGTTGATGTTTTCTCCTTCCGCCGAGGCTTTGCTAACAGCTGTGTGTGCAGGCAGAGCGCAGTGACAGTGTTTGTTTGCAGAGCAACATATCTGAAACACTGCTGGTGAAAACACTGCTTGCTTTTTTTGGTAGACATTTCTTTGATGAGAGGTTGTTTTTAATCTAGTCATTGCTTTAACTTCTTCATCCTCCAAACTTAAGAACAGTGTATTGTTGGTAGACATGACCAATGTTAATAAGAATCCTATTTCAGTGCATCCTCTCGGTTGTGATGCAGCAGATCCTTCAGCAGTTCTTTATAAAAATGCAGCATGGTTGAGTTCAGTTCTTGAGCTGGCTGGATATGAAAAGAATGAATGAAAATACTTGATATTCAGTGCAGGATTTCAGCAAAACACAAGTGGCCCACCGGATAATAGTCACCTCTGTACAGGAAACGGCAGGGGTAAATGTTGCTGTAATTTAGTGAATTGATTGCAGTGCTTTAACCCTCTGCCCCCTTTGTGTTTTCTTCTTCTCTTTTTTTCTAAGGAATCTTTATGAGCACATGCAACGTGGACGTCCGCTGGTTCCCTTTTGACATCCAGCAGTGTGAGCTGAAGTTCGGCTCCTGGACGTATGACGGCTGGCTGATGGACCTCCAGATGAATGATGCTGACATCTCAGGCTACATGCCCAATGGAGAGTGGGACTTAATTGGTGAGTACAGTGAATCATTTGCATTGTATCCTCATAAAACATCCAGTCACAGAGCAGTGGTCCATTCCTCTCTGTCCTTGACTGCTCTTCAGGGGTTCCTGGCACCAGAAGCGAGGCCTTCTATGACTGTTGTAAGGAGCCTTACCCAGATGTGACATTTGTTGTGACAATACGGCGGAGGACCCTGTACTACGCCCTGAACCTGCTCATCCCCTGTGTGTTGCTGTCTTCAATGACCCTGCTGATCTTTGTGCTGCCAGCCGACTCTGGGGAGAAGATCTCACTGGGTGAGTGGATACAAAGCGCATGATGGAGGAAATACGTTGACAAAAGTAGAGCAAGAAGCCGGATACAGGAGGAGTTGTTGTTTTACGCTTCGGGTTTTAACTTTGGGAACGTACTAGGTGCAGACCAGTTTGACCTTCAATGTGAGTCCATCATATCTAGAGTGATTCAGTGCATACATCACAGGACTAATTAGGATAAGGATTAAGATGACCTTTATTATCCCAGAGGGGAAATTCAGTTCTTCAATTGAATAAAAGGGAGGTGAAACAACCTCAGTCACCTTCACACGTTTGGGGAGGTGAATGAAACAAATTTAATTTTGATAGATTACTCAGCTGAAAAACGCACCAACACTCCCAATATTCAACATCCAACCATGAAGAGTTTGAATCAAATCTCCTATATGGTTCTCTATGCTCCAAGGTGTGAACGTTCAAGTATATACAGTAAAGCAAGACAGCCAAAAAACCTAGCTTTCAAAATGTTCTTAGACTAAAGGCAAAAAAATGAAGCATTGGTGCAGAAGACTTTGGGGTGGGATGAAAGGGGCAAAGTGAGAGAGGGTGAAGCTGCGAGAGTAGAGGTATAACAGGATGAAATAGAAAGATGAGAAACGCGAGGAGGAGGAACAGAGACAGATGGGAGTGGGAAGGTAGTGAAGAGGGAGCGCAGACAGGAGAAGAATTTGAAAAGGATGAGACAGGACAGCACAAAAGAGAGGGGGACGATTGATGAGGAGGTAAAGGTGGGAGACAACCAATCCTCAATATAATAGGCTGGCAGAGAGAGAGGATGCGGTGGCGCCATTGAACAGCATCTGCAAATACATTTTAATATCCGTTTCAACGTAGAGCACAAGATGGATGATTCTCACATCATCAGTCAACGGAAAAAGAGACTACAGATTGTATGGCCTTGCATTGAAAGTAGAAGACGATTAATTGTATACGCGATCAACAGAAAAGTGTTGATTATTTTTATGTCAAGCTGATACATTTTTGTGGGGATATATTTTAGTCAATGGGTGTGTAAAAAAAAATGACTTAATGTCAACTTGTCAAGCTCTGTAAAATGTGTTAATGGCATTCCTCAGTTTTTCTAAGAAATGCCATTAAAGTTGACAGAAAAGCTACAAATTGTCATATTAAATCCCTCTCTCACCCCCATTCACAATATATCTTACAAAAAGGCCAGAAGAGGGAATTCAATATAGCCTCTATACACCAAAAATAATTATACTAATATTATTTATAAGAAGAAATTGATAAATGCACAGGCTTTTTTGTATTTGACTCACGTCTGAGTCTGAGGGAACACAGAAGGACGTCAAAGCATATCTTTAACCTCAATACAGGATGCATTACGCAGCATTTCTCTGCAGAAAATAATGCCAAGCCTTACACACACGGCCAATTAACCTATTGGTGTAATTAAGGCTAGTGAATTGATTAGAGGAAGAGAGCTTACACACTGCCTTACTGGAAAATACTCTGACACTCGGGATGATGGAGGAGACACGGGACCAAGTGGCTGGGGTCTTTAGGGTGAGAGGACCATGCTTTAAAAAAGAACAAGTGTCATTTCTGAGAAATTAGGCATTATAAAAAAAGCCTTTTTAATTTTCTCAATATCGTTTTAAGGACGTTTATATTTGATCTCTCAGCATGAGTTTAATTGAATGCTTCTGTATGGGGACATTTATGCCAACAAAGCACTCCTTAAATTTAGTCGGTCGGATAAATGAGACAGATAGCGAGGATAAATTGAGATGGAGATGAGTTCAAGGGCAGGAGCGTGTGTGTTGTGTGTGTTTGTGTGCACGCAGATGGAGTTTGGACAACACATTTGCTGTGCAGAAGTGCTTTTTGCTGTAGAGGTAGAGCATGTCAAAAATAATGGACAGTATGAGCAATAGCTGGTCATTTAAATAAATGTAATGTGATCTCATCCAGATTAAGATAATTAATCAACAAACTACACACACACAAAATGTAGGTCTCAAAAGAAAGTACCACCATTGATGGCTTATGAAAATGTGGGTAAAGCATAAGGTTCTTATATCTATCTATCTTTCTTTCTGCAGGTATCACCGTTCTGCTGTCGCTTACTGTTTTCATGTTGCTAGTGGCAGAGATCATGCCAGCTACATCGGACTCTGTTCCTCTCATAGGTACGTACAAGACAGTTTTATGTGTGTCTATATTTTCCCAAGTGGTTCTCATGGTCGCATGTTGTTTAACTGTAATTATGAAACCAAATTAAAACCAGCACTAAGGCTACAATTACTTTTAGTGATTGTCAATATGAAATCAAGATGTTTTACTCCTTTAAGATACAGCAAGTTTCCATCTGACAGCGGCAATCAATATCTGGCCTTGAGTGTTCATTTTGTACAGTAGTGATTCGTTGTGGTGTACAGTAGGAACTGGCTCCTGGTTGAACTCTTGCGGTTTGTGTACTAGCATGATATCAAGCATTATTCAGCACAAAATACAGAGCTAAGGCTTATGGGGATTAGTTAGTGCTGTAAACCATATATATATAAACAAAAATGCTGGACGAATTGGGACTTTGACTTGACCTGACATTACACTCAAAACCACAAACGTCAACATCGTGGAGGCACAACAAAAAAAGTCAGGGGATCATTAAAGTCATCGATATTTATCTTCTTGGCCCTGAGGAACACCAATGACTGTATATCATTTCCTTGGCAATCCATAAGATAGTTGTTAGTCTGAACAAACCAACATTGTCATTTCTAGAGCTACACCTGCTAGAATAGCTTAAAATCCTGGGTTTGTCACAGAGGTCTTTACAATCTGTCCTACACAGTGGTACAAAGTAAAAGCCAACAGAATTTATTTTGCCATCTGCTTGCCTTAAAATGTTATAGTCTAAATTGATTGCATGCACACATGCTGGGTATTATATTAAGAGAACTGGCTGCAGCCAGACACAGATGTGTCTGTCATGCCTAAAGACACAAATCCTGGTCATTAAAAACTTTGGAAAAAAGAAGTAATTATCATCAGGATGCTGCTTTCCAGCACAGATCTTTTCATTAAAAAGAACTACCCTGATGCAGTGCATCTGTTCGTTGATTTTACAAACACTATGTGGCTTCTAGCAGGCAAGTCGTGTCGGTATCAGGTCCAAAATTGGCCTGAAGGAATTAAACAAAGGATGTGTCTTTTTGAGTGAAATAGGGAATTGATTATTATTGTATTGTTCCAATTCATTTTATTTTCATTTATCCAAAGCGACTTATAATAAGTAAGTGAATTAAACATGAAAGGGTGTTTCAAATATAGCCTAAAACAAAGAGACCTTCACTGGTCTGTGTGCCAAATCAGAAGGCCACTGTGGCTGTCAATAAGCCAGAGGGAAATGATGTGTATTAGGATGTAACATTACGTCATATTTCTGTTTCTACTCTGCCCAGGTCAGTACTTTGCCAGTATAATGATCATCGTTGGGATGTCCGTCATGGCCACTGTTGTCGTTCTGCAGTATCATCACCATGATCCAAATGGAGGAAACATGCCAAAATGGGTGAGCTGTGCTCAAAGTCTTTATCATAACCTCAAGTGCATTATTACTTAGACATCATGCTTTCCAGCTGGTTAAGCACTATACATTGTCGTCTCCAATTTCCATCCATCCATCTTCTCCCGCTTATCCGTGGTCGCGGAGGTCTCCCATTTCAGATAAGATATATTCATATTATTAATCTCAACTTCCCATCATAATTCGTATCATGCGCTGCCATTTTCAGCAACATTGCATCCATCCGTCAGTGCTACCTGTTCCCTTCTGCCAGTTTCCGCTCTCCACTAATGTTCCGACTTCTTCGTGCTGTGACTCATCGCGGTGTCAGACTGCCTGAGCGTGATCATCAAATGCCTTACAACAGACTTCAACAGGAGTGTGTTTCAAAGGGCTTTAGATATGTCGGCGGATTTGATTTGAATTTTTCTCTCATTCCTTAATGATTAAAAATGCATGAAGCCTTTTTTTACTAACAAAAGTGTTGTTCTAATGCGCACATAAATATGTCAATTGTGGAGAAAACGTGAAAACATGGCAGGCTTCATTTAAATGATTAGCAAATGGCTGGTTACCAAAATAATATACATTTTCTGTAATACTAATCAAATTAAATATAGGAAGGCATTGATTGGCATTTCAAAGATGACAGGTCTACATTTGCCGATACATCTACAACAAGCTTGGTTGCATCAGAGTGCAGATGCCGCATATATCGACAGATGGAAGGACATTAGGTTGATGGATGGCCTTTTCAGGCATTCTGTCGGCCAATTAACAAGCTAATTGATGTGGTTCAGAAGAGTGCATCGAACCAGCACAGTTCATAATTGCAATTGCGGACAAAAACATCAAAGGCAGCAGCAACAGGGACGGTTACCTGGCCAGTAAACACACTGTGGAAAGTAATTGAGCAGTCATCTGGACATTAGCTTCTCATTAGATGACAACCACCCATCTGGACGCTGTTGGGCCAGTATGCTCTTTTAGGGGACATGCAGTCTGTTTACAAGGGAGTTTTGTTTCAGGATTTGTATGAGGAGAAAAGAGGAAACAAGTTGAACACAAGCTTTATATTCGTACCAACTCGCGAGAAGCTTGCTTTACATGTATGCTGCAGTCTATTGAGACATTATCGAAGGCTCAGTGCACTGTAATCTGACAGTGAATCTCAATAATTCCCCCCCTTTAAATTGAATGCTGTCTTTGTAAGTATCCTCTTGCAGGAAATATATTTTAAGCTAAACATCTTCTTTGCCTCTCAGGAGTCCCTAGCGAGGATTTGATACTTCTACTTATACAAGCACTACTGCATTATGAAACAAGATGCAAGGGGGGAAACAGCACCGACCATCAATCCAAGACAAATGAGGCATCTTAACTCGTGTTAATTGAAGGTCAAGACGTGTAGGTGGTTATCAATGCTTAGTTACTCTCATAGCTTTGCCGCTTTTTTAATGTTTTCTTTTACCTTCTTTAATGCTTTTGTGCTCGTTGACTCTTCTACTAGCTGTCCACCACTCTCATCTTTAAATGTTTTTAGCCGTTTTCTCATATGCAGTGGACACCAGGAAAATCATTGTCCGTAGTTTTCCTTTTCACACATGTAGAACACAACAGAGGATTGTCCGTGTCACACGTGTACTCAGTTAGCTTCAGGCAAGGGTTGGCACCAAGGGAGAACGTGTAGGAGTCATGCATTGAGTCGGATTATACCGGGGGCACATTGCCAGTTTTATAATTTGGACAACTGCATCTCTTGTTGTTCAATTCATTTTTATGACAATTTTAGCATTGGCCCTTACGTTCAGACGTTTCCAAATCTCATTCTCTTTCTAGTTAGAGATTTGGTGAGTCTTTTCCATCCAAACATTTGCATTACGACATAATGTCTAATTTCATGGTTGCAGTGCATGTGTGAAAGAGGCTTTAGTTTCTCTCTTCTTCTCTCTACAGGTCCAGCTGGTCTTGCTGCAGTGGGTAGCATGGTTCTTGCGTATGAAGCGACCAGGAGAGAACGATGACCCAGAGCGGCCCCCGTGTGCCTCCCACTTACGGCGCTGTTCCTCGGGCTCGCAGACCGGGAGCATCACAAATCCACAAGACCCCACCCTGCATCCGCTGCACCCACAGAACCTGTCTTCTCTGCACACAGGGCCCCTCCACGCGGGGCATCCTCACCTTCATGCCCAAACCAGCGCCAACAACAACGGGAACCTTCTTTACATGGGCTACCAGAGCATGGAGGACCCTTCAATACTCTCAGAGCCTCTCCAGAGAAATAACATGTCTGCAGGGCCTACACGTGCAGCAGGAAGCCCGCCTCCTCACCTCCCGTCTCAGTTCTGCAGCTCCCCACCACCTCCTACCCCCAACATGGATACTGTAGGCTGCCCCAGCACAGTCTCCAGTGGGGGGGGCTTTGGAGGTGGAACCGGAGGTTGCTCGAATGCAGGTATAGGAGACCCACAGTTACAGGCCATCTTGGAGGAGGTGCGTTACATGGCAGACCATTTCCGGGAGCAGGACGAAACCGAGAGCATTGCAGACCAGTGGAAATTTGCAGGCGCTGTGATTGATCGTTTGTGTTTGGTGGCGTTCAGCATTTTCAACATCATTTGCACCATCTCTATCCTCATGTCTGCTCCGAACTTTGCAACTGCTGTTTCAAAAGACTTTGTATGAAAGCAAAAAGGAAAAAAGATGAAGAGAAGCGTGAAGGAAAGGATGAGGGAAATTAAATATAGGCTGAAGAATGGAGTGGGCCCGGATCCAAGGAAATACAATTTCCCGCGGACTGTAGGCTCTGTGATTTGTGATTGCAAGGAACTCGAAAATAGAAATTAAAAAAATGGTGTTCTTTGCAATACAGTACTGTTTTGTAACTGAAATATAAGAAGAAAACAGATAAGGAAGGGAATACAGAGTATATGTTGAAGGAGATTAGGGTGAGCAGGGTGCTTTATCAGATTCTTGACAAGGTGAAATTCATTCTTTTGTTAATTCAAAGTATTTTCCCACAAAATAAGGGGAACAAATGAGTCAAAAAAAGAAATAAAGAACAAGATTAGTCCAATGCAACCTCAAGCAAGAAAGCTCTTAAAGCACTGGAGAGATTGAAAGAGTAAGAGGGAAAAGCGACAGGCAGATATATAGAGATGGATAAATAAGACTGTATTTTCTTAAAGAGGGAAGACAGTTCTTCACTACCACTTTTTGAGAACCGACTGCATCATTTAAAGTGATGTGAGGAGGAGAGGGCTGGGGGAGACGAGAAATATTTTTACAGACGAGAAAAGAGTGAGTAACTAGACTTCATCTCTTGTGACATTGGCAGAGTTAGGCGGAGTAAACAGTGTGATGCCTGGATATACAAAAGTTGATGGAAGATCAGTAAGCAGAGTGGAACAGAAGAGGATCTTATCTATTCAATCACATCCATTTAATGACCGTCAAATTGAAAGACCTTGGGATAATCTTTAGGACTAATAAGCTTTTAAAGGATGAAGTCCCCTCTCTGCTTGAAAACCACTTTAAATTTCCAAGGCCTTATCTCTTTGAGACGATTGCCAATCTGCAACAATCAGCAGAGATCAAAAGCTCCTCAGCAGCGGGCACAGCGTGCAGTGCTTATCACGACCGGGAAACTGAATTAACCGGTCATCAGCAGCGCAATGCCCAGTAGCTGCACCACGGTGGAGGCTTGAGCCAACTCATGAGGCAGTAACCGAACGGATCTTATTGGATTTCAAATTAAACGTTTCATAACTGCAATGGGCGGTCAGGTCTTTAAAAGAACACGAGGCCCAAGAAAGGGTTAAGATCATGCAAAAACCCTCAAATGTGTACGGAGAAGCAACATCCAATCACATTTCTGTCTGAACCCTTCAATGATTTTCAGATTCATGAGTGATTCATATCTACCCAGAATGAAAAAGATGGGAATTTTACAGAGCTTTGCTTCGATTAATTTCAGTACAGTTGATTAACAGGTTTGATTTCAAAGTATGGCCTTCAGCTACAGAGCATCTGTAGAAATGCGGATACCAGAAAACTAAATATGTATTTAATTAGTTTAGGTTTGAGGGGAATTGTGTTGTCTGCAAGTAGTATTAATGTTTGCTGAATGGAAGGTGGACTATAATTCATGGATGTACAAACAGTAGGTTTAATGTTAAAGATTTCCAAGGATGACTGTCCAACCTGACCAAAGTAATACAAGTTGTCTTACAAAATTACAATTAACAGAGCAATTAGTCAAATGACAAACCTCATATCTCCATTCTTTGTACTCGCTGAAGCTTTGTCCAAAATCATTCTTGTTTAACTATATTGACCTTAAGCTGAAGTGAAGTATGTGTGGCACGAGTTAATAAGAGAGTGAGTTTGGACACAGCCCAATATTATAAGAGAAGGATGAGTCATTCAAAATGAAGCTTAAAGCGAAATAGATCCAGCTGAAAGTGTACATTTAACAACTCTTCTCCGTGCAATTCAGCACAGGTAATTGCTGAGTCTCTCAATGTTCAACTAACTCCAAGAGAGTGTAGCTCTCTCTTTAATATTAGTTTTCATGTGGATAGCTATCGTGCACATCCACTGAAAATAAATATAGAATTGTCAGGAAAACATTTTTAACTGTAGGATTTTTCTGTATTTGTTCTGTATCAATAGTGGTGGTATATTGTGTCATGCACATGAAGGTCCCCAGCCTAAAAATCCCCTTTAAATAACATAACTGAAAACAAATGTTTTACCAATAATTTATGTTTCTCTACATTTGTGTACGTTTTGAAACACATGCCCTGAAATTAGCAAAGTAAGCTAAGTTTTTTCTTTTTTTGCCCGACAACTACATTTCCTCAAAAAACTAAACAAGCCTTTGAAGAGAAGACCGAACTTACTGTATATTTCTCATATATTCCAAAAATCCCATAAAACAACTTAAACCTACAATAAATTCAGCCATGGCACAGATCCTCAACCTTAAATGTTTACAATGCAGAAAAACTTGTCACAAGTATAGTAGTCAAACTGTTTGTTTGGGACTATTTCCAGCTGTGGATTAATACACATCGGTGATTTAGCAAGTTTTTTTGTGTGTAGGATGGTAATTCACTACAGTGGCCATTTTCATTGAAATAAAGTATCATTTTACCCAGTACAACAATGTGGCTCATTAAAGTGATAAAAACAATGGAGGTCTTAGGAAAAGCTATATTATGCTTCGGTCACACAGTCAACACTTGTTAAGAGAATAATTGTGCTGTAGGTTTTGGTATTTTCATGGGATTTTATAACAATTAGTTAAATGTACAATATCTGCAGATTCTTCTTTAAGAAATCTTATAGGTTTGCTTTAACACATAAATCCAATAGTCTTAATGAGTTACCTACATTCCTGATACACTATCACTAGTGAATTTGCATATGTATTATTTCACTCTGAACTGCTACATACAGGGTAGAGAGTGTTGTACAATTATTTATATATTTCTTTCTTCATTTTCTGTCTCCTCTCTCGTGTTCTAAAGTCTCCTAGCAGTCAAAAAGTAAACTTCTTGCCGGGAGGTTTGTAGAAGGATGTTGTCCTTCCAGCACATACTGACAACTAAACACTCACATCTGTACAGAACATTTTATCACCCTGAAAATAAAGGATTGTCTCATTTTTCTACCACCTTTGGTCTGTTCCCCGTCTCTCTGATTTGACAGTGGCTGGCCCAACACCCAAAAAGAAGAGAGAAATGACAGAGAGAGGGGATAGCAGGGGGAGAGAAAGTGCTGACGCGCTGTGAGAGCTGGACAGGGCCTTAATTGATCACTCGTTCAGGAAGGAGAGAGGAAGGGGGGGAGGGATGAGATGGGGAGGCAGAGGAAGGGAGGGTTAATGGAGGAAAGAGGGGGGCATACTAGGTAATTCATCGGATTTATGAGGGACAGAGGCAGCAGAGATGGGAGCTCAGACAAGCGTAACTCAGTCACATGCATCAAATGAAAGGCCACTGCAGTATATCACACCAAGGGAAAACATATACTGCAGAAATAAACAGAAATTAGACATATTTTAATGCAACCATATGTCAATCAAGTGTGGGGAATGTGTGTGGTCCTCAGTGTGTCACTCAGTCAGTGAGCCAGACAGTCAGAGGTGTATTTATAGTGTGCTGCCCTTCTTTAGCCCCGCCAAGGCCCCCTGTTCGAAGGGCTGACTCTTTTTCTCTCCGAGGTCGAAAAATGTGCAGCGCTAGCAATCTAGCAGCCCTTAGATTTACTGTGTTCACTCAGATGGAATAAAAGAAGAGTGTGTGAAGATGGTGCGTGTTGTATGTGTGTCTATGGGAAAGATGAGCCTCGGGGTCTGAGTACGCATAGAATCAATCAGTTGTTTTTCTTTTCAATTCAACAATTCAAATGTAATAAGAGCAGGCTGACCTAAAGCTTTCTCCCAGCCCTCAGATATTATACCAGATGGGTAATTTAACTGAATCTCACTGGAGGCACATTTGGGCCTCACACAGATCTATTATTGTGTAAACAGGGTGGCGATATAAAAGCTAAAAAGATGCCATAACTGCCAAGTATACAAATGAACTTGAAATATACATAGACACAGACAAAAACAAAGCAATCACATGCATAAAAACACATTGATCATGACCTGCATTAAACACTTGCACAACACTTTAACAGCAGGCATGTTGAACAACATATTCAGGTGCACCCACCCCTGTGCATGCACACCTGTTCTGTCCGAGGGTCCCCACACACTCTGCTGCAAGGAAGCTCCCCGACATCTTGCGGCTGAGGCCGATCAATGCCTTTTAATTACCAAGGGCCCAAAGTGTGGGTCGATACAGCTTACGAGAAGCAGAGAGAGAGGGAGAGAGAGAGAGGGAGAGAGAGAGAGGGAGAGAGAGAAAGAGAGAGAGGGAGAGATGGTCCAGACGGTGATTGATGCTCACTCCTCCCAGCGAGCCTACCTACAGATGTGTCGTTAGGCTTGATTAATCCTGCCAAGCCACATTGACTCACTTTACAGACCGCTGTATAACCAGCCGGGCCGTCGCAGTCGCGAGGTTAAGTGGAGACGAGGTGTCCGACCTCAGGAACACCGACCTCTTAAACAATATGTCAATGGTGGCTGTGACTCCCTATCGTACGAGTGGCGACAAAACTACTACTTTTAAACTCTGAATAACAACACATATATACATTCATTCATGAGGTTCCTTAAAACAAATGTGTACTCAGGGACCGGAAAGCATTGGCAAAGGCATATATTCAGTTACTGTGGTTCTTTACTCTCTTTCATAAACGGGGAAAGATCAATACAGTTTTATCTACATCGCTTGCACAGTGAATTATGAACTAATACTCATCTGATCATTAATTTCTTTAAAGTTATATTCTATTTTGATTCATTATAATTGGGTTGACTCAAAGGATGATGAAAAAAAGAATGATAAAAGATAAGAAAACAATTGTTTTCACAGGGTGAGTAGAACTCTTCCTGCTGAGTAAAATACTGTGCAAAATTGTGAGCCCCTGTAATGGTGCCTAATTCAAATGAGGGAAAAAGAGTGAGCAAAGTCATGGTTGAGCTGCTATGCTTTTAATGTGAGGAAACTTCCAGATAAAATGCAATCAGACTGGAATAATCACGGAGTCTTATAAGGAGGCTTGTTATTTTATTTTATTCTGTTTATTTCCCTCACAATTATAGAGGTACAATAAATCATATCAAAAGCGTGTTAATTAAAAACTGATAGAAGCATATGTTTTGTGCTTTACGGTGATGCAAAAGTGCTGTAATTTGATGCAACTCCAGAAACTAATATTATGCATAAATGGTCATATCAATTTCATGACACACAACTAAAGTTTGTGGGACATATTTATCTTACACAACTCACTTGTCCTTAGTTGCCTTATGTTGCAATGCAGTGCAACTCAATCGACAAAAACAAACAGGGATAATCCAGGACAGCCTTCCATAAAGGGCGTTAGGAGTCAAGACTTGAAGCTGTTAAGCCTTTTAATTATACATGGCATAATTATACAAGTTTGTTATATAACACTATTTGAGATTTCAGATATTCCTATCCTGAGGAGGTGAAAAAAGCAACTTGGATGAGATATAAACAAGCAAGTAAAAATAAATCCGACAGTTTATGAGAGTCTTGAGAATGGCATGCTGCAGACACACACAGTTTTCACTAAAACTCAACACAGATGCATATTTTGTGGATTTTCCCTTAGGTGCTACAACCAGATAAGCAGCCACTCTAAGGATATGGCAGGGGGAAAAAGTCGACTATTCAGTAGAAGTACTAAATTAATGAGAAAAGGGATCACCTTCTCCCCACTACACGTCAAAAATATTCAACCATTTCCTGTTGATGTTTCTTACAGTAGGTCTTGATTCTCTGCTCTCACTTTAGACTGTTCACTGACAAAAACTAACTAAAACAGATTAAATGATGCCGGTAAGGATTGATTCAATGTGCATCAGGTGGGTTTATGAAATCTGAATGTCTAATTCAGCCCTTTTTAAACCCAGGAATTTATTTCTATAGTTCTTCTTTAAAGTTTATCTTTCGACTTACTATAGACATCTTGAAGGTTCAAAGACAGAAGAGGTATTTTTCCACTAAATGTAGCAACACCAAAGCGTTAATATATTTGATAACAACAAAAAGTCTTACATTCAAAACAGAGCTGCAAAGACAAATCAATCAGTGGTCAAGTATTAAATAAATCAACTCAATTAATTGATTTGACTACATTTTTGAGAAAAACAAAGTCAGGATTCCAGGTTTTTACATGTGAATATTTTCTGTATGTTTACTGTTCTCTGTCAGAAAACGTAATACCTTTGATTGTGGACAATTCAAGACAGGGGATGGAATATTGGGCATTGAAAACAAGGATAGACATTTTATAGACCAAACATCTATAATAAAAAAATTAAAGTAATTGTTGGTTTGAGGACTATTTAAAAATGCGCCTCAAGCATAAATACAACAGTACCATTAGTAGGTGGCAATAGCATCAAGATTCAAACCCCTATTTGGGCAGTGTCTTACTGTGAGAAGGAATGTTAGTATAAAGAAGCATAACAAATAAATACTCTAGTATATTTCAAATTAGTACTTCATTTAATGTACTGGTCCCTTTACTCTTTTCCGGTTTTAACCTAGAAGTTTTACATATTTTGAACTGCAAATCCTAAAATAAAAGCTTACTTGGTATTACCCTATATCAAAAGGTGTCCAAACTTTTTTCACCGAGGGCCACATACAGAAAAATATACGAAGGGCTGGGCCGCTCACTATAGGTATATTGCCTCATAAGTTAGAAGTTAGAAAAATCGGTACCACTTTACAATAAGACTACCCTTATAAAGGGTTTACGAATAGTTTGTAATTAATTTATTAATTAGGTTGTGAACACTTTATAAATCATTAATAAGCTTTTATAAGACATGAGATAAACAGGGCAACTGTGACCGGTTGCTTGCCAAATAGTGAGCTCACATTTATCTGTACTGCTAAGCCTTATATTGGCTACTTAGCTTAATTCGTCTTCTTCATCAGCCAGCATCCTTGGTATCTGTTGCTCACTGAGTTGATTCCCCCCCTTCCATCTTGATGTTTCTTGGCATCTCTTATGACCATCTATGAAAGAGTTACTAACATTTATAACTGCCAAAAGGGAGCCTTATTGTAAAGTGTAAAACCCATTCCCATTTATTTATAATTGGTAAAAGGGAGCCTTATTGTAAAGTGTGACACATATCACCATTTATTAATGAGTTACTACCATTTATAATTGGTAAAAGGGAGCGTTGTTTTTAAGTTTAATACACATGTCCATTTATGAATGAGTTATAACATTCACGCTTACCTAATACACATTTTTCACATGAAATGCAAAGTGAGATGCAACAGAACCAAGCAAAACATTTTATTCACACATGAAGAAAATCAGGACTCAAAATAATTACTATTTAGTATGACTGATACACATATTTAAACATAAAAGCTTTTCTCAGACATAAATGAAAGACTTGGTAAGACATAATGGTACTCAGACTGGAAAGGCTTTGTGTATATCCTTGAACAAGCGTCCAAGCAGTCCGGGGTGACCAGAGCCAAGCCAAGATGACCATTCAAGAACCTTGAGATGTTTGTCAACGGGGGGGTGCTCGTGACTTATCCGACCGGCCCACTTCGGTACCGCTAGTAAATTGTCAACGGGGGAGGTGCTAGTGACTTATCCGACCGGCCCACATCATCCGACCGGCCCACTTCGGTACCGGCCCATGGGGATTCGTCCCGAACGTCCCGATGTCGGCTCCAGGGTATGGCTGGGGTAGGCTACAGCCATACCAAGAAATGGCTTAGCCCCACCTTAGCCCCACCATGACAAATTATGTTAAAGTAAGCAAAATAAAGTCCGCCAACACGCGCCAAGTAAATTGCAGACAGCAGCAAGATTGATTTCAGTAGCCACTTGTCTGGAAATGCAGAAGACTAGAAACGGTTTTGAAAACTTTTGTCACGTAGTGATCGTCTTCTCAATAGAGAACCGCAGTGACGCGTCCTAAAACCCGGAAGTAAGTTAGCATTTTTACCACGTCCGGTTCCTTCGACAAAAAGCAATGCAATTTCTCCA